CAAAAAATATATATTTTTTAAAAAATTAAAAATTTTCCCTTGGGAAGCACCCCCCCCTCCTCCCCGGGCCGGGATCGCGGCTCTCCGGCGGAGCGGCGGCGGCAGGGCTGGCGGCAGCCCCGGTGGGCAGCTCCGTCCGTGCCCGCCTCCGTTCCTCGGTGTGTGTGAGGATGTGCAAGGGAAGCGCAGCGCAGGCACGGCCCCTTCCCCCCCTCCCTCGCCACATCCCCGCTGCCTCCGCCTCTCGCCGCCGCCGCCGCCACGGGGAGGTGGAGCTCCGGCTGCTGAGCCGAGCCTCAGCCCCACCGGGCACCGGCAGCACGGCCGCCCGCTCCCGACCCCGCTCCCAGCCTTGGCAGGGGCCGTAGCATCCCCCCACCCCTCCCCGTACCCCTTTTTCCAGCTCATCACCCCGGGACCCCCCGCTCCTTGTGTGGGACGTGCGTCCCGCTTTGCTCCCTTCCCACTGCTCCTATTTAATTCTTTCTTTTCTTTTTGGATTTTGTCATTCATTCGCTTTAATCGGACCTGTAAGGAACGGGATCCGGGCTGGAGATGCATCTCCCCCTCCCTCCCCCCCGCCCCATGCTAAGTTTGCCCCTCAGCGGGTGCACACACATGGCTCTTTTCATGACTCCATCCAGCGGTCCTCTCCTGCCACACCTGGCTGAATCACACTTTTATTGCCGGGTGCCAGGAACAGGGAAGCAGAGAACACCTGCGAGCTGCCGGCTGCCCTGGTGATGCCTTCACCCTCTGATTCCTACAGCACATTTTGTAGGTGAGCATGAGTGCCAAGTGTGAGTCTCAAAGTGCAGCTGGGGCTTAGGGACAGCGCAGTCCCCAGGGAAATGACATCCTTCACTGCCACTGAGCGCCCATCAGGGCTGGATCTGCAGCCTGGCCTTGCTGAAGGCCTTGTGGGGCGGCTGGGCTGGGAGCAGGTGCCTTACATGGCCAGGCACCCTATGGCTTGGCACCCACCTGCTCTGAGAGTCTGGGGCCGTAGGGGCCGACGAACACGGAGATCTTTCAGCCAGGATGCTGGGAAGTGCTTCCCGATCCTCCGCAGCGCGAGGATGGGAGCAGCTGCCCGCTGAGCTACGCCAACCTGTTGCGCAGCTCCCGTCGCTGCACACATGCTCAGCTCGGCTGCGGAGACTGCACCATCTAGAGGCTGTGCCGGCCGGCTCCGAGCATCCCTGGCTCAGGCTCAGCCCCGCATTTCCCCCGCAAAAGGCAGAGCTAAGCCCGCGGCAGGGCTTCTCCCCGCCGGGCAGGGGCTGGGGAGAGGTTCTCCGAGGGGGGACACCGAGGCTGCACTGCAATGAGCCATCCCTGTTCCTGTGGATTTCTCCATGTCAGTGTGCATGAAGATTTTTTGGGGGGTGTTAATTCTCAGGAAGGGAATTTTGCAGAGGATACAAAGCAAGAGCCTGGGGAAAGTAGAAGCCGACCGTGGACGGGCAAGGAAAGGCTGCGGGGTTCGTCAGAGTGAGACAGCAGGAGCAGGAGCTTCGGGAAGGGAGCAGAGCAGAGTTCCCAGGGGACACAGCTTTGGTTCTCAGCTCCAGCGGCCCTGAGAGGGAGGAGAGTGGGAGGAAGGGAAGAGCGAAGCAAATGACCCTGCAAACCCCGGGCAGCGCTGTGTGCAAGCTTCTAAAGGGGCTGGGAGCAAACTTCATGGGGCATTGTGGCCAAAGGTTCCCAGCTCACTCCCGTTGCAGGCAGGTGATGTGCACGCAGTGTGCTCCTTATTGGGAAACAGGGCAGGGGTTTTGCTGGGTGCAGCCATGCTTTGAGGGGCAGCTCCAGGCTGTGGAAATTGGGGGTTTGTCTGCCTCGACCTTCCTGCTCTGAAGAAGTGGGCAGGCTCTTTTCTGCAGCCCTCCAGATAGGAGGAGAGCCCATTGCCAGCATTGCCCTGTTCCATGTATTTATGCAAGTCACTGCCCTGTACTTCAACGTACCCACTTCCTATCCTGACCAAGGATAAAGCATCAAATCTCCACTATGGTCACTGCACTCTTGGCCAGAGGTATTTCACCAGCCCAAGTGCAGCCTGGTGGTGCCGGTGATGCTGCTCTGCCATACCCAGCCCTCTCCAGCAGTGCACAGACAGCTGCTTGGCGGTGCCAGTGGGCATTGCTGGGAGAACAAAGCCTGCGAGGGAAAAGCATCCTGCTAAACCTCCAGGAAAGCGAGAAGAAAGGGAAACACGGAGAGCAAATGAACCTTACAAGAGACTAAATCCCCCTCCCCGACACACGCACGCAGCAACCTGGCTGCCGTCTGCTGCAAGGAGTTCAAAGGCTCCTCTGTTTCCTCTCATCAGCTCTGGGCTCCGCAGGAGAAGCAGCAGCTCAGATTTGGGCAGCAAATGCTAATAACACAGATGTTCTGACAATTCGCTTGTTTCTACAATTAAAAACAAAAGCTCCTCCGAAGCCAAATGCGCGGAAATGAGCACATTAAAGAACTTCTCCTCCTCGCACCCGCCGCCTAATGAAGGGCTGCGGGTCTGTGGAGGACGGGGTTCGATTTTGGCCCGATCTGGAGTGCATGTGGGATGCTGAGGGAGAGGAGCATCCCTGGACCACACTGCAGTGCCAGGGCTGAGCGACTCATGCGGTCGGGGTCTCTGGTTCCTATGGGATGCTCTGTGCCGAATTACTGCGAGATGTTTTTTATTACTGTTTTAACTCTTATGATTTTTTTTTAACCTTGTTTTTCTCTCGGCTGCACTTTCGCTCACTCATTAATTTTGGTATTTTTCTCACGGTATATAACCCCTGTCACGGCTGCCATGGCAACGGGAGGGAATGTGCTCAGCGCTAAAATATCCTCTCAAAAATAACAAAAATAAGACAACAGAGGCAGCTTCTGTGGGCTGCTGCAAATGCAGATCTGGCCCTGGTGCTGTGACGGCCAAGAAGGATCCTGGATGCCGAGGAAGTCCCTGAGCCCTGCAGTGCTCAGCCCCATCCTCCCCCTGTGCTCTATCACCACTGGGCCAACGTCTTGAGGCTGAGCACGGTACAGCCTCCAGAATTCATTTCTTCCCCCCAAATATCACCACAAATGAAGAAGAGATGTGGAAGCAGCATGGAGAAGTGCTCTAGTGCCAGGGGCTGGCTGGCTTCAGTGACTTTTTGCTCCTGCATGGATTCCAGTGGTGATGCCATCAGGTCTCAGGCATGGTGGCAGCTTGTCATACAGTCCTGTTGTCTCTTTCTGACAGGATTACCGGGCTGCTTGAGAAAGGCAATTGTGTTGATATAGTACACCCGGATTTCTCTGAGGCATTTGACTTACTTCCACCTGACATTTTGATTAAAACTTGCATTATAAGGAATTAACAGGGCACATATTAGATGGATTAAAACTGCTTCCCCAGCAGATCTCAGAGGTAGTCGTTAATGGGCAGATATCTGCACGTAGAGCGATTTTACCTACGTCCCCCCAGGGACCAACTCTTCGTCCACTGCTATTAAACACTTTTATCAATGATGGAGATGAAGATATGAAATCTTTGCTGGTAAAGCTTGAAAATGACACCAGGAGTGATGAGATAGAGAGGAAGGAGGATGGTTTCCTGCTGAATCACCTGGTTAAATGCCCGGGGTGCATTTGGATACAGATAAACACAGGAATATATCTGGGTGCTAAGCCTGCAAGCTAGATCTTGGAAAGCAAGGACTCCAGGCATGTCTACGCAGGCTGGAAATGGTTTCCAAACAAGCCAGCTCACCTGAAGCACTGCCAGGGTATCTGCCTCATCCAGCCCAGCAGATGAGTGCCTACAGAAGAGGTATTTAGGGGGCAGTGTGAACAGTTTCCCCAAAATGAAGCTGATGTACCCACCTGCATGTGTCTGACAGCCAGCCCAGGTCCAGGGCTCTGCATCTGCACCCACACTGCAGGGAGGGACTGGGAGAGCATGGCAGGCCTGACCACAGCCAAGCCTAAAGATGCGGTGCACAATTAACAAGGACGTTGTCAGATGATCTGAGGGTGTCCTCCCACATGGAGAGGACCCGTTAAATTCCACACGGAGCTGCAACAAGAGCAGGGGCTGAAGAGAAGACACAGGTGAGACCCTGAGCTGGAAGCCAGCTGGTTTGTGCTGAGAGCACTGGAAGAGCTTTCTCAGGGAGCACAGGGGATCACAGCATTGCTCAAAATTTTGCACTCAGATGAGATCTCTTTATTTAAAAAGAAATCACTTAATCCAGCTGCTGGGGGCTGCTGTGTGAATGAGTTGGGGCAAGCAGTCTCCCTGGGCCTGGGCTGAATCTCACACCTCCTCCTTGCTCTCTCCAGCCCATGGCAGGTGGTCCATCACGCCCTGCAATTATTCAAACAGTGATTAATCGAATTCTTGCTTCAGGGTTCAGATGGGCTTCTGTGGAGATCAGGAAGGCTCCTGTGGTCTCCACCCAGCATCTGCAGCAGGGAAGCAAAGCACATAAAATGTTTGTTTTCTTTTCTGAGACCATGCTGACTAGCTTGGTGCCCAATGCCTGAGCTGGCCTTGGAGTTTGGGCTTCAGAGGAACTTTAGTGCTCTTCATAGAATCACTGACGTTGGAAAAGACCTCTACGATCATCATGTCCAACCGTCCCCCTACCACCAGGATTGCCCACTAACCACATCTACACATTTATTGAATACCTCCAGGGACGGTGACTCCACCACCTCCCTGGGCAGCCCATGCCAGTGCATTACCACTCTTTCTGAGAATAAGTGTTTCCTAATATCCAACCTGAACCTCCCTTGGCACAACGTGAGGCCATCACCTCTCATCCTATCGCTGTTACCTCTGAGAAGAGGCTGACTCCCCCCTCACTACAACCTCCTTTCAGGGAATCACGGTGATCAATAAGGTCTCAGCATCAAATACTTTGCTCCCAGGGTTCCTGAGAGAGGTGTGACCCTACAGAGGCAGA